CAAGCATAGTTACTTTTAGCATCCTTACTAAAATTTCGTAGACAGGTGCCCCAGCAATTGCTTCTTCCGGGGATATCTCTCACTCACACACACACACACACACACACACACACACACACACACATATATATATATATATATATATATGTGGAAATATAGTTTTAAGGTGTGCTATATTTACGGGATGAAGTGCTCAATATCAGAGATAGAGCGTATGTAAATATAAAATATAAAAGTGAACATTGAAGTCAACAGGCTGTTTCATGCTAGACGCAATCTTCAGGACGCTTCTCTCTCTCTCTCTCTCTCTCTCTCTCTCTCTATATATATATATATATATATATAATGTGTTTCTATTGAATATCTTGTGTAGAGTGCTAGATCGAGGGAAGTGTTTGTGAATTAGAATAATGAATATGTTTCCCTACGTATGTTTTTAAGGTTGCACGTTGTGTTATGTTTTTTATCCCGTTGGCTTTTTCGTGCTGTGCGGTATGCACGTAAGTGTTGCAGAAAAATCCACTGTCTTCTTAGGGCTGTTTCATAATCCACACACACACACACACACACACACACATATATATATATATATATATATATATATATATATAATTATAGAAAACGAAGACTTTAAGAGGCAATGGTTATAGTTTATTTCACTAATGAGATAAACTATCACCATGACCTCTTAAAGTCTTCGTTTTCATAATAATTATTACTTGCTTTGTTTTTACATTGAGCTCTCTCTGTCTCTGGATTTATATCCTCTTTGGAATTATCCATACGGATTACCAAATAACATCATTAATTACATATATATATATATATATATATATATGTGTGTGTGTGTGTGTGTGTGTGTGAAAAATATCTAGAAAATAGGAAAGAACTCGTTAGGTAAATAATCCAAAGTTCTTTAGTATTTTTGTTATTATTTTTAAAAAATAGTGCTCGATACAAAAGTAGAACATAAATATAATTATTTATTTAAAAATTCAATTCAATTCAAATAATTATATTGAAGTTTTCGGCTCTTGCTTTGAAACATGAGAACTCTTATGCAGCGTTGGAATCATATTTTTAAATAAATAATTAATAAATAAATATATATATATATATATATATATATATATATATATATATATATATATATATATATAATATTTATTTAAAATATGATTCCAACACGCTACATATTGATTTTCGACTCTTGTTTTGAAACATGAGAACTCTTATGTAGTGTGTTGGAATCATATTTTTAAATAAATAATTATATATATATATATATATATATATATATATATAATTATGCTGATTTATAATTAATTTCCGTTTTGAGGAACCAATTGTAATGACGAATGTAGAATCCTAATAATTAATCATCCATGGCAGTTAAGAATAAGTTTGGAGTAAACTAACATACCTTAGGTTTTGGCACGGTATTGGTAGTCTACATAGAAGATATAAGAAAAATATCCTCCATGACAATTCAATGCTGCATACAAAGAATAAAACAGGAAAAACATTGGGAACTCGGTTGGTCTGTTCTATCCCAGTCGTTCATATTTACCTAACCTTGAATTAACCGATTATTACCGCTTCAATAACACTTTAACGGAGGAAAATAATTTTCTCTAATGAAAACCAAATTCACGAGTTCGCCAGAAACTTTATCAAACTTATTGTCAAATCTGTTTTTGTCGAAAACTTGCGGACTTTTACTGAAAAGGTTTTGAAATGTTGCTTGATAAATGGCAACAAACGTCTGCAAATAATTTAACAAATTTAATAAAGTGATTTATGTCTCTGAAGAAAAAGGTTGAAAAATAAAAACGGAAAATTATTTGACTTCACTTAACATATATCAAGTTTCATACAAATTGTTGAGTAATTTGACGGTGCGCGTGAACAGAATTTTTACGATCCTTGGCGTTTACCATTTTTGAGCCAATGTACAGCTTCTTCTATGTGCCGTGTCCCTTCAAAGCTCTGCAAAATTTCCTGACCTTTGTAGCTATCTTTTCATCTTGCTATCTCTCCTAATCCCTGTTCTGCCAAAAGTTTATTCAAGCTCGTTAGGTAGGTTATTCGCGGCTTCCCTCTGTCCCTCGTCCCTTCAATATGTCCTGTGAGTGTCAAATTTTCCAAGCCCTCTTTCCTCATTATGTGCTCTAGATATTTCAACTGTCTCTTTCTGATGCTGTCCTTTTTGTTTTCATTTTCTCTAAAACCACATCTTTGCTCACATGCTTAGTCCATAGTATTCACAGAATCTTGATGGTAGATTCCAGAACTGGTTGTGTCACTGATATTTGTTGGAAGAGAAAACTATTAACAAATCAAATAAAAGGAACAAACTCTAATTTAATGTCATTTCTAGTGATATTTTTATAAGATGAAAATATCAGATGTAAATACCTTCTTAAGGGTTTAGGTTACTATCATTCTTTTTCTATTAACACTAGGATGGCCAGCTCCTTTGACATCTTTATTTACATTACGCCGTGAAGCAGCCATCTCTAATATATTCAATATTCAAGTCAGGAATAACAAGTCTGAAAAGAAATTCACAAATATTAGTATACCTCATACTGAAAGAAAGTATATATATATATATATATATATATATATATATATATATATATATATATATATATATATTATGTGTGTGTGTGTAGATAGATAGACAAATAGATAGATAGGGACATAAACACAAGTATTATTGCTTGTGAGAATTTTTTCAATGCATTTACCTTATAAATAGCCTAGGTGTCAAAAACGACACCTCGGCCATTCAAGGTAAAACCTCAAATATCAGCTATTCCACTGAATATTTTTTAAAGAATTAAGTCTGTTAAGCAACTTTGCTAAAATTCAATAATTGTCCATAAGCCTCAGCATCGAACCAAAACTAATTATTCCATAGTAATTTGTTGAAAATTTGAAGGTGTTGAAAACGACACCTCAGCCATCCTAGTGTTAATTAAATCTCTTATTGTTTTTGAACGCTTACGGCCACATCACGCTAAAACGATCACAGAAGTTAAGCAACGTCGAGCTTGGTCAGAATTTAGATGTGTGTCCGCTTTGGAATACCAGGTGCTGTAAGCTTGAATGTGCGGGTAAGTGTATGGATAATGGCTCGGAATTGTTAATCAGAGAGCCGAGTTCTAATTTCATTTGGGTTCGTTATATTCACTTACGCGCAAATACCCTTGGGAAAGGTATAAATGCACATCTTCTCCCCCAGCTGTGGGTTAATTAGTAAGACTTGTATCACTAAAGCATAACTTTTGCTGTTAAACGATTTGGACAATTTTGCTATCACATCCGGTATATATATATATATATATATATATGTGTGTGTGTGTGTGTGTGTGTGTGTGTGTGTGTGTGTGTGTGTGTGAAAGCAAATGATGGAAAAATATTATGCAATGAAAATTTTAGCTAATAATTGTATCAGGTCATCAAAATTAATAATGTACACATAAAGACATATATATCGAGATATATGCATACACTCACACACACATATATATATATACAGGTTGTCCCTCCAAAATTGGCATCATTTAAAATGTGATAGCTGAGTAACTAGAGGTCCCAGGTACAGTAAATTAAATAGGCTTCATGCTGAACAATAAAGATTTATTTATCAAAATTCAAACAAGATATTAAAAAGGATATAAATTTTATAACCGATTTCATAGTAGTTTCACAAATGTTCAATATGCGCATCACGTGTGACAGGACTACTCGTCAAGTTGTTAGTCCAGCTCCTGCCAGACACGCTGTAGTATGTTTTGCGTAGCATTATCCAGCCTCTCAGTGATTCTCTGATTAATTTCCTCTAGCCTTGTAGGAAGAGTGGGATATAGACCTGTTCTTTCACATAGCCTTATAGAAAAAACCACAAGGTCTTAAGTCAAGTTAACGTGATACCATTTCAAATGCACATTGTCATTATCACTGGCACGCCCGATCCATCTTCTTGATAGATTCTCATTGAGATAATTCCGCACAGTCAACTTAGTTTGTACACATTTTGTTAAAATTTGAGATTATTTAAGCGAGAATTAGGTGTGTTATTGACTAAAAAATAATAGCAATTTGGGGCTATCTCACGTGAGTATTTAAACATATAGTCAGCGCAAGGGAGATAATTCTAATAAAGCAAAAAGTAATAGATAATACAGACGAAAAGTAACATAGGCAAACATTTGTTTACAACAATCTGCTTATATACAGGAGTTGGCTGCAAAAGTAAGTATACAATAAGTTTGTCGGATCTCACTCCTATGGACTTCTTCTTCTGGAGATGTGTAAAGGAGATATATTTTGTTTTTCATTACTGTATACCTAGTTTTGCATTTTGTCATAAAAATAAATACGCCTAAATTCATCTTCATCTCTGCTGTACGCCAATAGCTTATCGGTAAAATATATAATGTATATAATAATATGACAGATACCAAATCGGTCGGGTTTCAGTCCCGGCTTGAGTCAATCGAAGGCCTAGCCACACTGACGAGCTGTTAAACAGTCTGTCTGTAAATGGCTATATATATATATATATATATATATATATGCACGTCGCTTTTCGTTTTACGCATAGATAGTTGGAAATTTGCCCCAGCATAATTGTTTGTGGTCATTATTTTGCTGAAAGGATGGGTACATTGAGTCAGTTACAAGCAAACATCAAAGATTTCAATATGCATTTTTATTGCAATCACTGATAACGTTTATGTAATTTATTTTTCTCTATTTTGACTTATTTTTCATTGCGTTTACTTTCTTTCAATTTCTTTCTGTCTGCGACCAGAATCTTCGGAAAGGGTCGTCGTCGTCGTCGCCGCTGGCTTGAAACACGAAATGAAACAACAATGGCAGAATCATGCAGTCACAAACTATGATTTCATTTAACCCAGATTCGGCTTCTATACTTGATATTTGATTTTAAAGCCATGGACATTGTCATACAACGCATTTTCTCGGGCTTACGGCAATATCACATTGAAATACCGGTTTCCGTACAATCACCGGAGTTAAGCAACGTCGAACTTGGTCAGTCACGAGATGGGTGACCACGTGAGAATACCAAGTGCTGCAATCTTGGGTGGTGCGATTGATGATCCCTTGGAATCGTTAATTGGAGAACCGACTTCCAATTCCAGTTGGGTTCATTATATTCATATTCTAGGGGAAGTCATGAATCCGCCTCTTCTCCTCCTATATATGGGTTAATTAGTAAGTCTTGTATCACTAAATCAATATTATCTCAGAAAGATTCTTACAATCTAAAAATAATTTTATTAACTATATTTTTACAACTGCAGGTCGAATTCAGTTTTGAAGATTAACATTCTCAACAAAATCTGCATTTATGTGACATATATATATATATATATATATATATATATATATATATATATGTGTGTGTGTGTGTGTGTGTGTGTACGTATGTATTAAAGCAATGTCTCAGTTGTTATCCTAAAAACTTGCACGTCAGATCAGTTCTTTTAAATCAAATATGTAGTGCAGCTTAATTTCTATTACAATGAACCATTCATACAAAAAGATAATTAGTAAAGTTAATGATATAAAATGGCGAAATCCCTTCGCTAACTAAATTTTAAAGGTGCATTAACCCACTAAACACTCGATGAATGATTATTATCCTTATTTTTTAAAATTATAAACTGTATTAGGTCTTCCTTAAATATGCAAGAACTTTAGACGTCCATCATCAGGTATGGAAACTATTATTTTTTTTGTAAGATTCAAGTGTGTGTGTGTGTGTGTGTGTGTGTGTGTGTGTGTGTGTGTGTGTGTGTGTGTGTGTGTGTGTCGCTTTTCGTTTAATAATAATTGGAAAATATACCCCAGCATAATTGTTTGTGGTCATTATTTTGTGAAAGAATGGTCAGATTGAGTCAGTTACAAGCAAACATCAAAGATTTCATATCCATTTTTATTGCAATTACTGATAACGTTTATGTAATTTATTTTTCTCTGTTTTAACTTATTTTTCATTGCGTTTACTTTCTTTCAATTTCTTTTTGTCTGCGACCAGAATCTTCGGAAACTTTCGTCGCCGTCGCCATCGCCGTCGCCGTCGTCGTTGGCTTGAAACGCTTTCCTCAATCGCCCCCCATTTTCAATCTTCCCATTCACTTTCACTCCATGTAACTCCATGCGTACTAGTGGCATTGTCGCCTTGCTGAGGGTGAAATGATTCAAAACAAAATTTAAAAAAATAATGCGCATTCAACCACATTTTTTAAACCATAACTGTCTTAGTCCACCATTGACATGGTGACTAGGGTTGAGACAACACAGCCAGTGTTGTGATTATGCATTTCTTATTGACAAATGTGACAAAGATGTAGTAAACAAATTTTTGCCTATGTTACTTTTCGTCTGTATTATCTATTACTTTTTGCTTTATTAGAATTATCTCCCTTGCGCTGACTATATGTTTAAATACTCACATGTGAGATAGCCCCAATAATATTAAGGACTTCGCTAAAGGTAGTCATTTTTGACAGCAGGTGTAAACTAGTATACAATTTAATATGGTGATTCATGACAGTGTGCAGTTGCATAAAGTATGCATTGGTATAAACAAGCCACGTGCACATCTTTCCGTTCTAGCACGCGTGTTTTTGTGCATACTTGAGAAATTATATGCGTATAATTAATCATGTATTCCGAGAAAACGGAAGGCTCGTCGCCATTGTTCGCGCATCAAGACCGCTTGAGCATGAACACAGTGCTAGCTGAATGGAAAACTATCATTGCTCATGCGCAAATAAATTCTTTCATTCCAATTATGTCCATGTGCGCATGCGCAGAGAATCACTAGGATCGCTTGGGTATGCAATTATCCACGAATTCAGAGGCGAAAGTATGCGTGGTCCCATCATCAAAGCAGGTAAGTGGCGCGGGAAAATAGAAGCGACACGAGGAAGCAGTTGTCTGCAGATACGTTCTGGATTTAATGTGTGTCAGAATGCAGGCTATTGGGATCCGACTGGCTGCGGGTGAATGTGCACATGCATATTTATCCAGGGTTACCCGACACCGCCTTTACGCTTTATGTGGGTGTAAATCTATCACGTATATTCTTTGTGAATAAAATGGCCTCCTAAGTTAATAATAACAGAGCCAACTTTTGGCAACAGAAACTTCTACTTCAGTGGTACTAAAAATATGAACTGTAATTACCGAAAGATAACGTGTTTTGGAACATTGGATACACTATAAGCCAAAAATTTGGGTCCACACTTTGGATTTAATAATTAGTAAATTTCATACATTCTTTCGGTTAATTTGGATTAATTAACTCAGTGTAATGTCAATCGATATCTCAAGTTGCCATGATCTATCCACTATCCCTCTCCTCATCCTTTCTTCTATCATTTCTACCTGCTCTCGCTCCAAATCCTCTATAACCCCTTGCGTGCTAGTGGCTTTCCGCCTTGCTGGGGGTAAAATGCTTAAAAATAAAAACTCCTAGTAAGCTAGGGTACTAAAACTACAGAGTACCCCGTAAAAATGGTAAATTCAGAAAGAAATGAGACAACCGTTGAAAACTGATGACGACTGATGTGACTGAAAAAATCAGGAAGAATTTCTGCACATTTCGTCAATCCCCACGTTGGATGTTCTTCTGTGAAAAGTTCGATAACTTGACGCTCAAAATCAGTGAGTTTCTTAGCCATTAAGAGAAGGACAGAACAAAGGACGTAAGTTGTATGCACACCAATGACTTGAGGTGAAACAACTACATTGAATCAATTGCTGCATCTACCGCAAGGAAAGTTGGTTTCTGTGTCACGCCAGAAGGTATTTTCTCGTCTGAGTCCATCCTTCACATTTACAAATCTACTATTAGTCGAAGCATGAAATACTATTGCCATATATAGTCTGGTTTCCCGACTGTTCCTCTCGGTGTTCTCGACAAAATCCAAAAACGGATATGCAATGTGATCGGTCCTGACTTTGGCTAACCACTCCAGTCACTTTCTCACCGACGTAATGTGGCTTCCCTCTGTCTTTTCTATAAATATTTCCATGCCACCTGCTCTGACAAGCTATTTTCTCTGGCGTGCCGACTGCATGAATTTAAGAGCCCTACTAGATTGCCATCTCAGTCCCACCCTTTTACTGTCGAAACAGATAAATGTAACCGTCTCTTTTATTCCAACATCTTCTCTCGCACTTCCCGACAGTGAAACTACCTTCCTCTTACTTGCTTCCCTGATAACTACAATCTTTAAATGTAATGTCAATCGACATCTTCTGTTGCCTTGATCACTGTTCTACTCTTTATCCTCTTCCGTTCTTCTTTTTATATTTTCCTCACCCCCCCATGTCCAATCTTTTCTCTTACTTTTACTTTCTGTAGCCCCTTGCGTACTAGTGGCACACCCGCTTTGCTTGGGGCGAATCTCTTTAAAAAAACAAAAAAACCTTTAAATGACGAATCACAGCATAAATTAATCAATCATAAAAGAACCAATCAGAGTTAAATAATTACGCGAGAGTCGAATGATTATTCAACCTTATGAATATTCAAGAAAGATAAAACAATGATAATAAATTTGCTGCTTTTTTTTTTATACTGGGCACCCTCTATTTAACCCATTAGTGCATTCTGTTCACTTTTTTTTTTTTTTTTTTTTAGAGAGATGGGTGTACCTAAATTTTTAAAACAGCCAACCGTAAGCATTGGCCAACAAGGTAGATTAGGTAAATAAAGAGCTAACACTTTAAGGAAAATTTATGCAGTAATAGGTTAATTTCGTTATTATGATTATGACTATTATTGAATATATTATTAAACTCTCCAAGAAGAGAAAGTTCTTCTTGACGGCATATAAGACGCAGTTTTTTTACTAAAAATATCTTTTAAAATTCCCTTGCGTCTTATATGCCATATGTAGGTTTAAAATTCATGATACTCGGCCGAAATTAGCTACCTGGCAACTCCTATTAGTGTAGACTTTGGAGTACCTTTCATATACCTATTCTCATTATTTAAATGACTATTATGCAGATTAAAAGTGTTATCATTGATTATATTCATTATATTATTTTCATCAAGTTTAATATTAGTACTTTTGTTTCACTAAAATTATACGCAATAAATTCAAATTATATATTTGTAAAATATATTTGTTTCATTAATATTTTTCTTGCGATAACTTTCGGTTGCATTGGTATAAATATCATCAGAATTATTATATCCTGATTATCCCAATAGGAATTTTACAAGACGCAGGTTGTACATATCATATAAACGATATAATAAAGTTTTTATAGGCTCGTGTTCTTTTTTCCAATTATTTTCATTTAATTGTAATCAAAATAATACATCATAAATATAGCCTAGGCTGTACCATTTACTAATAATTTTACTAATTTTACTAATTACTGATTTTTTCTTGATTTTCACTGTTGAAATTGGGGTGCGTCTTATTCACCGATGAGTCTTATATGCCGTCAGATACGATAGTTTGGAAAAGGGTACGCAACCCTCAATTTCAGTGGATTCTTTGAAATCCAGGAGGTGGCTCCAAACTTTTGGCTTATAAGTGTATATCCGAAAGAGATATCAAAGTTGACAATTGGTTTAAAAATATTTTACTGTCTGGATAGTGGGTGTGCAGGTGGAGTAATTAATAGCAGCATGGAATGAGAAATTTGGGAGCCTAGTTCGAATTCAGGTCGTGTTCTTTGTATTCACTTATGCACAAATAACCTTGGGAAATCTATGAACCCATCTCCCCCGGCTGTGGGTTATATAGTAAGATTGTATCTGGAAGAACATTGCTATGAATGCATTATTCACTCACAAAAACAATTATTCTTACAATTCACAATATGGTTCGGCTGTAAAATAAGTCACAGTTGGTAAGCCGTTAAAAAAAATCAATCAGTCAAAATACTGAGTAGAGACTAGTTACGGGAGAACCATCCTCTTCTATCTCAAATCTAATAACATAGAGATAAAGAAACAAATGGATAAAGAAAGAAACAAAGGGATGGGCTGAGATAGATAGATAGATAGATAGATAGATAGATAGATAAAGAAAGAAAGAAAGAAAGAAAGACAGAAAGAATGTAAGAAACATACAGATAAAGAAACAAAGGGACAGAGAAAGAAAGAAACAATCAAACAATCCAATAAATGAATAAAGAAAGAAATTAATAAACAAGCAAAGAAAGAAAGAAATGGGCTGAGATAGATAGATAGATAGATAGATAGATAGATAGATAGAGAGAGAGAGAGATAGATAGATAAAGAAAGAAAAAATGTAAGAAACACACAGATAAAGAAAAAGTGGATTGTGAAAGAAAGAAAGAAAGAAAGAAGCAGATAATGAAATAATGGACCGAGAAAGAAAGGAACAAGCAACCAAAAAAGAGACAGAAAGAAAGAAAGAAATGGGGTGATAGATAGATAGATAGATAGATAGATAGATAGATAGATAGATAGATAGATAGATTCTGTTTTAGTGCTATTAATGATATCCAATTAATCTGCTTGCATTTTACACACGCCTTATGTAAGGCGTTAAATAGAAGAAGAAAAAAAGAAAGTGTGACATTCGAATAGGACAAAGAAAACAAGCAAAACTGATGGCCATACAACGACACGGACAGAAAGAGAAAATATATGAATTATTCATGTATACAAAAATAACTTTATGTTTATGCATGCATGGATCAAGTGTACATAATATTACGCGCATACATTCGCGCGGGCGCGCTCACACATACATACATACATACGCACACATATATATACATACATATATGTGTGTGTGTGCGTGCGCGTGCATATGTGTGTGTGCGTGCGCGTGCATGTGTGTGTGTGTTTAAAGCGAGAGCGCAAGACATTGACGCATGTTGGAACCTGCTGGCTGGAAGCCATGTTAACTCAATCATGGATCAATTGATTGATTAAATAATACAAAATACAGTGAGGCTATCAGAGTTGGTATTCATCGATGGATTTGGAGCTATTTATAAATGAAAGCTCTTTTCAGACTTAAGTCGCAAAAATGCGTATGTATATATGGATCCACACCAATGCACACACAAAACGAATTTATTAAAAAAAAAATTAATCTTTATTAATCATACATTGGTGCAAGACGGTCACAGTAGGTACCCTTAAAGAAAGACAATTTATTAAGTACGACACAAGACTAATCGGCGTGGACACTTCCATATTCCGTTTTTGGTTATAATGTGGATTTGTTTTAGTATCTATATTATATTTTATTCTTCATATTTCTGCTACACGCGTTTCCGGTTTCGTGACCTTCTTTAGGCAAATAGGAATATATTTTTAAAAGGAATAAATTTTCCTTATGTTCTTTTTCTGTATTTGTTAGTGAGCCTTGAATGAAATGGTTTCTCACCTGTCGAGATGCATTCGCATCGAAACAAAAATGCATCCGCATCGAAACAAAAATGCATCTTTGTCGTGACTACTTGCTTATCCGTATGTAACATGTTTATAATAAATAGCTATTGCTCTCCTCTTGGTATTGACCCATCTTTTAAATTAATGCTATCAACATTTGAATTTATATTCTTTTCGACCTCATTACATTTGAATATATATATATATATATATATATATATATATATATATATATATATATATATATATATATATATATATTTTATCACAACACACCTATAAATGTTACTAGGTGAATTTAAAATTATGCCAATATACCGAACAGACAATTATTCTTACTTACAAATACAAGAAAAAACATCATAAACAAATTTAAACCAGCACTAAATAGATCATAACCCCTCACGTAAAAGCACACAACAGGCACACATAATGGCCAAACGCAGTAATCAAACGACTCGCATCCATGCGCATACACTCACACGCGGGTATATGTGGAGCACGAATATGTATACACATATTGGCAAAAACAATAGACTGCTCACGGACACGCACGCAAACCCTACACAACATAGGAAGCAGGTGTGTGTGTGTGTGTGTATGTATGTATATATGGATGTATATGTGCGTGTATGTATGTGTATACGAAATCCTTATAATAAGACAATATGTGTGTATAGAAGGAGGATGCGCATGTACAATGGTACTATATATATATATATATATATATATATATATATATATATTGACAAAAAACAGTTCAAAGGCACGCACGCGAACCCTACAGAAAATAGGAAGTGTGCGTATGTGTGTTTGTGTATGTTTACATATGTGTATACTATAATTCCTTATAATAAGAGGGTATATATATATATATATATATATATATATATATATATATATATATATGAAGAGGGAATATACGCATGCCTACGCATGCTGACAAAAACACACAAACAAATGGAAACAGATCTAAGAACACACAAGAGTCATTAAAAGATAAGAATATAGATATCTTCTTCACCCTTTCTCGGGCCAGTCTTAATTGTTTTATTAC